AGGAAGCCAGTCCTTCCATCAAACACCAGTGTCCTAAACTGGGGGCAGTTTTATACCTTTTCTAACAGGTTTGGTTTTGACTGGAAGTTCTGAAAACAGGAAGCCTAATTACTGACTGGTGTCAGCGGGTCAGTCTGGCAGCTCAGCCATGTTCATATGTTTGGTGTGGAACCAAGACGTTGCTCCTATCTGCTGTGTTTGGGTCACTAGAAGGTAAGATGACCTTTCACTGGTAAAACAACCTAGAAATAAGTAAAAAGTTTTTTAAATTAAGTGTATTTACCCTTAATTTGAGTAGGTAAATGAGATGATTTGCCAATGGAATTAGTATTTTTACTCTTTAAAAATTAGATATTTAGATAAAAGGCACTTCAAATAAGACAATGCAATTGTGTTTTCTTATTTTAAGTGTAAATTGTCTCGTTTCATTGGCAAAATATATCTTTTGCCTCCTCAATTCAAGAACAAATTCACTTATTTTAAGAAAAAATGACTTACCTAGATTTCAAATTTTTTTCAGTGGGTTGTGATGGACTCAAACGGATCCATGATCACCGGTATGTGATACGCTGGTCTGACAGCAGAAATGAGAAATCTCCTCACATCATGACACATCAGCATCAGAGGCATCGAGTAACAAAGGATAAATATTTTACTGAAGTAGAATTGTTGGCTTTCTAGAGTCATTATTTTCTAGACAACTTTTTCCTTCTACTCATTACCAAAAAAAAAAAAAAAAAAAAAACGTGTTAGTTTTGTTTCATTTAAGCTCATTTTCTATATGGCCTGTTGGTGAAATAAATAAAACCATCAAATTAATTTGTTTCATCCAGACAATTAATTTATTTGTGGTTGGACTCGGTGCTGCCCCAACTTGTTGTTCACCACATACCAAAATAAATAGTTTTTAAAGATGATGCAGATGAAGTTAAATTTGACACCATTAGTCATAAAACTAAGAAAATGAAATCTAAGGAAGTTATCATCCAGATTTGTAGACAAATGTTCCTTTTATAGGGTAGAGCAGTAAAGCCTCTGTCCTGAACAGTTTTTACTGCATTACTTTTAAACTATACAGTAGTAGCCATTCAAAAATTCACCACTTTCCTTGATGGGCCCTTGGCTGGTCCTCTACAACTCCTTTCATGATTTGTGAACATTAAGATCTAAAGAGAAGTGGAATCTCCTGGTCAGACCCTGTACCGGTAATTCAGTGAAAGGCTGGAGTCAGAGGAAAAAATACGCCCGCCCAGGAGAAGACCAGAGGCTGGAAGTTGGAGGGGATTTTGCTGCCATTGGGCTGGCTTTTGACTGCGAAGGGTCTTTTTGAATGGCTGCTATTGTACTTATAGTATATTATACTTTTATAGCCAATAAGTTTTAGCTCTTTTTACGCCTCAGCCTCTCAGACCAACCAGCGCTGGACCATGTAGGGAAGCTTTGATCCTCAGAGAAAGGCTCCAAAACCAACATTTCCCTTCTTTATTTTAAAATTACCGCCTGTTCTCTGAACTCATAACAAGGTCACTCCCCTTTAATGAGGGATTCAGTTCCCCAGCACTGGGCTGCCGGTTCTAGACGCGAATGATGCGTCATGTAGTGACAGAAGTTCCCCCATCATGTTGGAGGGAATTATTAGAGCTGGGAGGCAGCAGTGTTTTCATACTGATGGTCATAGTAGCAGGTCTCTGGTGCCTCCTTCACGCTCTGGCTCAGTTACGTAGATGTTCCATAAGGAGCAGAGAACCTCTGGAGCCATGTCTTCTCCAGCTGATCTCCTGGGCCTCTTTGCTCTGATGAGGTGGTGAAAGAGGTTTTTCTCCTCTGTGATGCTCTCCTGCCTTTCAGTTCATTATTCTGACCACTAGAGGGAGCTGGAGGAGACCAAACCAGCTCCACTGCAGTTTTCTAAACTTCAGGAACATTTTAAAGCAAAAATAAAAAAAAGACAATAAAACAAATGTAGCTACATATTCCCATGGTAATAACTACTTGGTTCTATCTAAGTGCTCTGGATCTATATGTCTGATGTGTTTAAACTTCATAAAGCTCCAATTAGATCAACTATTACTGCTGATTGAACCGCCATTCTGTCCTCAGTGAAACCAGGAGAAAACCAGGATCCACTCAGAGGATCATTTTACTACAGGAAGCAAACAGGCTCATTTTCTTGAAAGGTTCTGGAGTCAAAACTGGATTCTTAGCTCAGGTTCTGTTATTTTTTATTTTTACATGTCAGCAAACAATACAATGTGCAAATGTATGGAGAGTCTGATGAGTTCTGCCAAAGCCGGAGAACTGGCTGCAGTCACTGAGGGGGTCCAGCTGGAACTGGTTCTGGTCCATGTTGTTTGGGTTCAGCTCAGTGCCGTGGCTGTGACCCTCTGGAGCCCGCTGCCAGATGAGCCGCTTTGGTTCTGGTTTCCTCTGTAAGCAGCAGAATCCGTCTCTGTCAGTTTGATACCAGGACCAGAACCGACCAGTCAGTCTCCCTCTGACTGGGAGCCGTGAAACCAGCGGACCTTCAGGTGCTGCCGGGCC